CTGAGTGGGTGTGAGTTGCTGAGTGGTTGTGCTGAGTGGTTGCGTGAGTGGTTGTGAGAGTGGTTGTGTGAGTGGTTGTGTGAGTGGTTGTGTGAGTGGTTGTGTGAGTGGTTGTGAGTGTGGTTGTGTGAGTGGTTGTGTGAGTGGTTGTGTGAGTGGTTATGTGAGTGGTTGTCTCACTCCGAATCAGTCGAGCGGCAATATCTTTTCATCGGTTGCGTAACGCTGTGTGGAAGCTACCTGGTCTGTCGCTCCGCACTAAGCTTCAGGTCTTCTCGGCCACGGTCATTCCCTCCCTTCTCTACGCTTGCGAAACGTGGACCCCCCTAATGGAACATCTTCGCCGGTTAGAAACATTTAGGCTGGCCTGCCTACGATCCATCCTGGGTTTAACCAGACTGGATTGTGTGAGGAGCTCACAAATCCTTGAAAGATCTGGGCAGGGTCCCATCGGTGAGCTCCTCCGGCAGGCAAGGCTGCGATGGCTGGGTCATGTAGCCCGCATGCCCAGCCACCGCATGCCGAAACAGCTTTTGTTTGGCCGGATTGAGGGGGCTAAGCGGGCGCGGCACGGGCTAGAGAAGAGATGGAGTGATGTGGTACAGGAGGACGTGGAGCTGAGTGGACATTGCCGATGACTGGTACCAGCGGTGTCAAGATAGGCCTCTGTGGAGGAGGCTCGTGAAGGATGCTACTGGGCAGTTGGAGGCAGTCGCCCTCCAACAACAACGGAGGGCGGAGGAGCGACGCTCACAACAGCGAGCGGAGCGCCGGGTGGCTAAAGCACAGCAGGTTGGCACAGTAGGGGGCACAGGTGGTGCATCAGCCAGTCATCTCAGTCAGTCGACCCGTGGCACCTGGGTCTGCCCCGTGACCTCCTGCCAGCGGGCGTTCGACACTTCACGTGGCCTCAGGGTGCACATAGCCTGGCACAAGCGTCGTGGTGACGTCACCGCCACTTAGTGGCGAATGGCGGTTGTTGTTGTTGTTGTGAGTGGTTGTGTTGAGTGGTTGTGTGAGTGGTTGTGTGAGTGGTTGTGTGAGTGGTTGTGTGAGTGGTTGTGCTGTGTGGTTGTGCTGTGTGGTTGTGTGTGTGGTTGTGTGAGTGGTTGTGTGAGTGGTTGTGTGAGTGGTTGTGTGAGTGGTTGTGTGAGTGGTTGTGACTGGTTGTGTGAGTGGTTGTGTGGGTGGTTGTGCTGAGTGGTTGTGTGGGTGGTTGTGTGAGTGGTTGTGTGAGTGGTTGTGTGAGTGGTTGTGTGAGTCGTTGTGTGTGTGGTTGTGCTGTGTGGTTGTGTGAGTGGTTGTGTGAGTGGTTGTGTGTGTGGTTGTGTGAGTGGTTGTGTGAGTGGTTGTGTGAGTGGTTGTGTGAGTGGTTGTGTGAGTGGTTGTGTGAGTGGTTGTGTGAGTGGTTGTGTGAGTGGTTGTGTGAGTGGTTGTGTGAGTGGTTGTGTTAGTGGTTGTGTGAGTGGTTGTGTGAGTGGTTGTGTGAGTGGTTGTGTGAGTGGTTGTGTGAGTGTGGTTGTGTGAGTGGTTGTGTGAGTGGTTGTGTGAGTGGTTGTGTGAGTGGTTGCACTGAGTGGTTGCAGTGAGTGGTTGTGTGAGTGGTTGTGTGAGTGGTTGTGCTGTGTGGTTGTGTGAGTGGTTGTGTGAGTGGTTGTGTGAGTGGTTGTGTGAGTGGTTGTGTGAGTGGTTGTGTGAGTGGTTGTGTGAGTGGTTGTGTGAGTGTTGTGTGTGTGTGTCTGTGTGGTTGTGCTGAGTGGTTGTGTGAGTGGTTGTGTGAGTGGTTCTGTGAGTGGTTGTGCTGTGTGGTTGTGTGAGTGGTTGTGCTGAGTGGTTGTGCTGAGTGGTTGTGTGAGTGGTTGTGTGTGTGGTTGTGTGAGTGGTTGTGTGAGTGGTTGCACTGAGTGGTTGTGTGAGTGGTTGTGTGAGTGGTTGTGTGAGTGGTTGTGTGAGTGGTTGTGTGAGTGTGGTTGTGTGAGTGGTTGTGTGAGTGGTTGTGTGAGTGGTTGTGTGAGTGGTTGTGTGAGTGGTTGTGTGAGTGGTTGTGTGAGTGGTTGTGTGAGTGGTTATGGGTGGTTGTGTGAGTGGTTGTGTGAGTGGTGAGTGAGTGGTTGTGTGAGTGGTTGTGTGAGTGGTTGTGTGAGTGGTTGTGTGAGTGGTTGTGTGAGTGGTTGTGTGAGTGGTTGTGTGAGTGGTTGTGTGAGTGGTTGTGTGAGTGGTTGTGTGAGTGGTTGTGTGAGTGGTTGTGTGAGTGGTTGTGTGAGTGGTTGTGTGAGTGGTTGTGTGAGTGGTTGTGTGAGTGGTTGTGCTGAGTGGTTGTGTGAGTGGTTGTGTGAGTGGTTGTGTGAGTGGTTGTGTGAGTGGTTGTGTGAGTGGTTGTGTGAGTGGTTGTGTGAGTGGTTGTGCTGAGTGGTTGTGCTGAGTGGTTGTGTGAGTGGTTGTGTGAGTGGTTGTGTGAGTGGTTGTGTGAGTGGTTGTGTGAGTGGTTGTGTGAGTGGTTGTGCTGAGTGGTTGTGTGAGTGGTTGTGTGAGTGGTTGTGAGTGGTTGTGTGAGTGGTTGTGTGAGTGGTTGTGCTGAGTGGTTGTGTGAGTGGTTGTGTGGGTGGTTGTGCGTGTGGTTGTGTGAGTGGTTGTGTGAGGGGTTGTGTGAGTGGTTGCACTGAGTGGTTGTGTGAGTGGTTGTGTGTGTGGTTGTGTGAGTGGTTGTGTGAGTGGTTGTGTGAGTGGTTGTGTGGGTGGTTGTGCGGGTGGTTGTGTGAGTGGTTGTGTGAGTGGTTGTGTGAGTGGTTGTGTGTGTGGTTGTGTGAGTGGTTGTGCTGAGTGGTTGTGTGAGTGGTTGTGTGAGTGGTTGTGCTGTGTGGTTGTGTGAGTGGTTGTGTGAGTGGTTGTGTGAGTGGTTGTGCTGTGTGGTTGTGTGAGTGGTTGTGTGAGTGGTTGTGTGAGTGATTGTGTGAGTGGTTGCACTGAGTGGTTGTGTGTGTGGTTGTGTGAGTGGTTGTGTGAGTGGTTGTGTGAGTGGTTGTGTGTGTGGTTGTGTGAGTGGTTGCACTGAGTGGTTGTGTGTGTGGTTGTGTGTGTGGTTGTGTGAGTGGTTGTGTGAGTGGTTGTGTGAGTGGTTGTGTGAGTGGTTGTGTGACTGGTTGTGTGAGTGGTTGTGTGAGTGGTTGTGAGTGGTTGCACTGAGTGGTTGTGCTGAGTGGTTGCGTGAGTGGTTGTGAGTGGTTGTGTGAGTGGTTGTGTGAGTGGTTGTGTGAGTGGTTGTGAGTGGTTGTGTGAGTGGTTGTGTGAGTGGTTGTGTGAGTGGTTGTGTGAGTGGTTGTGCTGAGTGGTTGTGCTGAGTGGTTGTGTGAGTGGTTGTGTGAGTGGTTGTGTGAGTGGTTGTGTGAGTGGTTGTGTGAGTGGTTGTGCTGTGTGGTTGTGTGAGTGGTTGTGCTGAGTGGTTGTGTGAGTGGTTGTGTGAGTGGTTGTGTGAGTGGTTGTGCTGTGTGGTTGTGTGAGTGGTTGTGTGAGTGGTTGTGTGAGTGGTTGTGTGAGTGGTTGTGTGAGTGGTTGTGTGTGGTTGCAGGCAAGGAAGGGGCTGCTGGACCAGGTGAAGGCCAAGGTGGAGGTCTGCAAAGAGGACTCCATCGGTAACGCCCTGACACTCATTTACACACTTACACACTCACTCATACACTCACTTAGACACTCACTTGCACACTTACACACTCACTTGCACACTTACACACTCACTTACACACTTACACACTCACTTAGGCACTCACTTACACACTCACTTACACACTCACTTACACACTTAGACACTCACTTACACACTCACTTACTCACTCACACACTTACACACTCACTTACACACTCACTCACACACTCACTTACACTCACTTACACACTTAGACACTCACTTACACACTCACACACTTACACACTCACTCACACACTTACACACTCACTTACACACTCACTCACTTACACACTCACACACACACTCACGTACACACTTACACACTCACACACTTACACACTCACTTACACACTTACTCACTTACACACTCACTTACACACTTACACACTCACTTACACACTTAAGCACTCACTTACACACTCACACACTCACACACTCACTCACTCACACACTCACACACTCATTTACACACTCACACACTCGCTCTCACTTACTCACACACACTCACTCACACACACACTCATACACTTACTCACACACTCACACACTCACTCACTCCCTTACACTCACTCATACTCACTTACACACTCACTTACCCACTCACTCACACTCACTCAGACTCACTCATACACTCACTTACACACTCACACACTCACTCACACTCACACACTCACTCACACTCACACACACTCACTCACACTCACTCACACTCACTCACACTCACTCACTCACACTCACTCACACTCACTCACTCACACTCACTCACACTCACTCACTCACACTCACTCACTCACTTACACACTCACACACTCACTCACTCACGCACTCACTCACACTCACTCACACACTCACTCACACTCACTCACACTCACACTCACCCTCACTCACACTCACCCTCACACTCACCCTCACACTCACCCTCACCCTCTCACTCACCCTCACTCACCCTCACTCTTACACACACACCCTCACTCACACTCACCCTCTCACTCACCCTCACTCACCCTCACACTCACCCTCACTCACCCTCACCCTCACTCACACACTCACTCACCCTCACTCACCCTCACCCTCACTCACACTCACCCTCACCCTCACTCACCCTCACACTCACCCTCACCCTCACCCTCTCACTCACCCTCACTCACACTCACCCTCACACTCACCCTCACTCACCCTCACACTCATCCTCACACTCACCCTCACACTCACCCACACTCACCCTCACACTCATCCTCACACTCACCCTCACTTTATCTCCCTCACCCTCACACTCACCCTCACACTCACCCTCACCCTCACTCACACTCACCCTCACACTCACCCTCACACTCACCCTCACCCTCACTCACACTCACCCTCACACTCACCCTCACACTCACTCACACTCACCCTCACACACACACTCACTCACCCTCACTCACCCTCACACTCACTCACCCACACTCACTCACCCTCACACTCACTCACACTCACCCTCACTCACCCTCACCCTCACTCACACTCACCCTCACACTCACCCTCACTCACCCTCACTCACCCTCACACTCACTCACCCACACTCACCCTCACTCACACTCACCCTCACACTCACCCTCACACTCACTCACACTCACTCACCCTCACACTCACCCTCACACTCACCCTCACTCACACTCACTCACCCTCACCCTCACTCACCCTCACCCACACTTTATCTCCCTCCCCTGTGCTGTGGTTTGTGTGTTGTAGATGCGGATCAGCTGAGGAGCTACCTGGAGAAACGCTTCGACTTTGAGCAGGTGACCCCAAGGGACTCGCTCACCACTCGCTCACCACTCACTCACCACTCACTCACCACTCACTCACTCGCTCACCACTCACTCGCTCGCTCACTCACACGCTCACTCACCACTCACCACTCACTCACCACTCACTCACTCACTCACCACTCACTCACTCACCCACTCACTCGCTCACTCGCTCACTCACTCACTCGCTCACTCTCTCACTCACTCATTCACTCACTCACTCGCTCACCACTCACTCACTCACTCGCTCACCACTCGCTCACCACTCGCTCACCACTCGCTCACCACTCGCTCACCACTCACTCACTCACCCACTCACTCACCACTCGCTCACCACTCACTCACCACTCGCTCACCACTCACTCACCACTCACTCACCACTCGCTCACCACTCGCTCACTCACTCGCTCACCACTCACTCACCACTCACTCACTCACTCTCTCACCACTCACTCGCTCACCACTCACTCACCACTCACTCACCACTCACTCACCACTCTCTCACTCTCTCACCACTCACTCGCCACTCACTCACCACTCACTCACCACTCACTCACTCACCACTCGCTCACCACTCGCTCATCACTCACTCACCACTCACTCACCACTCACTCACCACTCTCTCACTCTCTCACCACTCACTCGCCACTCACTCACCACTCACTCACCACTCACTCACTCACCACTTGCTCACCACTCGCTCACCACTCACTCACCACTCACTCGCCACTCACTCACTCGCTCACCACTCGCTCACCACTCGCTCACCACTCGCTCATCACTCACTCACCACTCACTCACCACTCACTCACCACTCACTCACTCACCACTCACTCACTCACTCGCTCACCACTCGCTCACCACTCACTCACTCACTCGCTCACCACTCACTCACTCGCTCACCACGCGCTCACCACTCACTCACCACTCGCTCACCACTCACTCACCACTCACTCACCATCACTCACTCACCACTCACTCACCACTCACTCACTCTCTCACTCACCACTCACTCACCACTCACTCGCTCACCACTCACTCACCACTCGCTCACCACTCGCTCACCACTCTCTCACTCACTCGCTCACCACTCACTCACTCACTCACTCGCTCACCACGCGCTCACCACTCACTCACCACTCGCTCACCACTCACTCACCACTCACTCACCACTCACTCACTCACCACTCACTCACCACTCACTCACTCTCTCACTCACCACTCACTCACCACTCACTCACTCACCACTCACTCACCACTCACTCACCACTCGCTCGCTCACCACTCACTCACCACTCACTCACCATTCTCTCACTCACCACTCACTCACCACTCACTCACCACTCACTCACCACTCACTGGCTCACCACTCACTCACCACTCACTCACTCACCACTCACTCACTCGCTCACTCACTCACCACTCACTCACTCACCACTCACTCGCTCACCACTCACTCACTCGCTCACTCGCTCACCACTCACTCACTCACCACTCACTCACCGTGTCTCACCGTGTCTCTGTGTGTCTCTGTGTGTCTCTGTGTGTCTCTCACCACTCACTCACCACTCACTCACCACTCGCTCACCACTCACTCACTCTGCATTCCCATCTCACCGTTGTCACCGTGTCTCTGTGTGTCTCTGTGTGTCTCTGTGTGTCTCACCGTGTCTCTGTGTGTCTCACCGTGTCTCACCGTGTCTCACCGTGTCTCTGTGTGTCTCTGTGTCTCTGTGTGTCTCACCGTGTCTCACCGTGTCTCTGTGTGTCTCTGTGTGTCTCTGTGTGTCTCTGTGTGTCTCTGTGTGTCTCTCTGTGTTTCTGTGTGTCACCGTGTCTCTGTGTGTGTCCGTGTCTCTGTGTGTGTCTCTGTGTGTGTCTATGTGTGTCTCTGTGTGTCACCGTGTCTCTGTGTGTCTCTGTGTGTCTCTGTGTGTCCATCTCACCGTGTCTCCGTGTCTCCGTGTGTCTCCGCGTGTCTCAGGTGACGGTGAAGAAGTTCCGCACGTGGGCGGAGCGCCGGCAGTTCCACCGTGTCTCTGTGTCTCTGTGTGTCTCTGTGTGTCTCTGTGTGTCTCTGTGTGTCTCTGTGTCTCTGTCTCACCGTGTCTCTGTGTCTCTGTGTCTCTGTGTCTCTGTGTGTCTCTGTGTCTCTGTGTCTCTGTGTCTCTGTGTGTCTCTGTGTCTCTGTGTCTCTGTGTCTCTGTGTGTCTCTGTGTCTCTGTGTGTCTCTGTGTCTCACCGTGTCTGTGTGTGTCCGTGTCTCTGTGTGTGTCTATGTGTGTCTCTGTGTGTCTCTGTGTCTCTGTGTCTCTGTGTGTCTCTGTGTGTCTCACCGTGTCTCTGTGTGTCTCTGTGTCTCTGTGTCTCTGTGTGTCTCACCGTGTCTCTGTGTGTCTCACCGTGTCTCTGTGTGTCTCTGTGTGTCTCTGTGTGTCTCTGTGTCTCTGTCTCACCGTGTCTCTGTGTCTCTGTGTCTCTGTGTCTCTGTGTGTCTCTGTGTCTCTGTGTCTCTGTGTCTCTGTGTCTCTGTGTGTCTCTGTGTCTCTGTGTCTCTGTGTCTCTGTGTGTCTCTGTGTCTCTGTGTGTCTCTGTGTCTCACCGTGTCTGTGTGTGTCCGTGTCTCTGTGTGTGTCTATGTGTGTCTCTGTGTGTCTCTGTGTCTCTGTGTCTCTGTGTGTCTCTGTGTGTCTCACCGTGTCTCTGTGTGTCTCTGTGTCTCTGTGTCTCTGTGTGTCTCACCGTGTCTCTGTGTGTCTCACCGTGTCTCTGTGTGTCTCTGTGTGTCTCTGTGTGTCTCTGTGTGTCTCTGTGTCTCTGTGTGTCTCTGTGTGTCTCTGTGTCTCTGTGTCTCTGTGTGTCTCTGTGTGTCTCACCGTGTCTCTGTGTGTCTCTGTGTCTCTGTGTCTCTGTGTGTCTCACCGTGTCTCTGTGTGTCTCACCGTGTCTCTGTGTGTCTCTGTGTGTCTCACCGTGTCTCTGTGTGTCTCACCGTGTCTCTGTGTGTCTCTGTGTGTCTCACCGTGTCTCTGTGTCTCACCGTGTCTCTGTGTGTCTCTGTGTCTCACCGTGTCTCTGTGTGTCTCTGTGTGTCTCACCGTGTCTCTGTGTGTCTCTGTGTGTCTCACCGTGTCTCTGTTTCTCTGTGTCTCTGTGTGTTTCTGTGTGTCTCTGTCTCACCGTGTCTCTGTATTTCTCTGTGTCTCACCGTGTCTCTGTGTCTCTGTGTCTCACCGTGTCTCACCGTGTCTCACCGTGTCTCTGTGTGTCTCACCGTGTCTCTGTGTGTCTCACCGTGTCTCTGTGTCTCTGTGTCTCTGTGTCTCTGTGTGTCTCTGTGTGTCTCACCGTGTCTCTGTGTCTCTGTGTCTCTGTGTGTCTCTGTGTGTCTCACCGTGTCTCTGTGTGTCTCTGTGTCTCACCGTGTCTCTGTGTGTCTCTGTGTGTCTCTGTGTGTCTCACCGTGTCTCTGTGTGTCTCACCGTGTCTCTGTGTGTCTCTGTGTGTCTCTGTGTGTCTCACCGTGTCTCTGTGTGTCTCACCGTGTCTCTGTGTCTCTCTGTGTCTCTGTGTCACCGTGTCTCACCGTGTCTCTGTGTGTCTCACCGTGTCTCTGTGTGTCTCACCGTGTCTCTGTGTGTCTCACCGTGTCTCTGTGTGTCTCACCGTGTCTCCGCGTGTCTCATCGTGTCTCTGTGTGTCTCTGTGTGTCTCACCGTGTCTCTGTGTGTCTCTGTGTCTCACCGTGTCTCACCGTGTCTCTGTGTGTCTCTGTGTCTCTGTGTCTCTGTGTGTCTCACCGTGTCTCTGTGTGTCTCACCGTGTCTCTGTGTGTCTCTGTGTCTCACCGTGTCTCACCGTGTCTCTGTGTGTCTCACCGTGTCTCACCGTGTCTCTGTGTGTCTCTGTGTCTCTGTGTGTCTCACCGTGTCTCTGTGTGTCTCTGTGTGTCTCACCGTGTCTCTGTGTGTCTCTATGTGTCTCTGTGTGTCTCACCGTGTCTCTGTGTGTCTCACCGTGTCTCTGTGTGTCTCACCGTGTCTCCGTGTGTCTCACCGTGTCTCTGTGTCTCACCGTGTCTCACCGTGTCTCTGTGTGTCTCACCATGTCTCTGTGTCTCTGTGTGTCTCTGTGTGTCTCTGTGTGTCTCACCGTGTCTCACCGTGTCTCTGTGTGTCTCACCGTGTCTCTGTGTCTCACCGTGTCTCTGTGTGTCTCACCGTGTCTCTGTGTGTCTCACCGTGTCTCTGTGTGTCTCTGTGTGTCTCACCGTGTCTCTGTGTGTCTCCGCGTGTCTCACCGTGTCTCCGTGTGTCTCACCGTGTCTCTGTGTGTCTCACAGTGTCTCTGTGTGTCTCTGTGTGTCTCACCGTGTCTCTGTGTGTCTCTGTGTGTCTCTGTGTGTCTCACCGTGTCTCTGTGTGTCTCACTGTGTCTCTGTGTCTCCGTGTCTCTGTATTTCTGTGTGTCTCACCGTGTCTCTGCGTGTCACCGTGTCTCTGTGTGTCTCTGTGTCTCACCGTGTCTCACCGTGTCTCTGTCTGTCTCACCGTGTCTCTGTCTGTCTCACCGTGTCTCTGTGTGTCTCACCGTGTCTCCGCGTGTCTCAGGTGACGGTGAAGAAGTTCCGCACGTGGGCGGAGCGCCGGCAGTTCCACCGTGATGCACGGCGAGTCCAGAGCGAGGCCGAAAGGCCGGTGCTGCCCTCGACGCAGAGACTCATCACGCTGTCCCTGTGCTCCTCACCCAGCGCCAGCAAGCGTGGTGAGCAGCTCGCCCGCTCACCAACTCGCTCACCAACTCACCACTCATTCGCCCGCTCACTCGCTCGCTCACTCACTCACTCACTCACCCAGAGACTCATCACGCTGTCCCTGTGCTCCTCACCCAGCGCCAGCAAGCGTGGTGAGCAGCTCGCCCGCTCACCAACTCACCAACTCACCACTCACTCGCTCGCCACTCACTCACTCACTCACCCAGAGACTCATCACGCTGTCCCTGTGCTCCTCACCCAGCGCCAGCAAGCGTGGTGAGCAGCTCGCCCGCTCACCAACTCACCAACTCACCACTCACTCGCTCACCAACTCACTCGCATCGCATCACTCACTCGCTCGCATCGCTCACTCACTCACCAACTCGCTCACTCACCCAGAGACTCATCACGCTGTCCCTGTGCTCCTCACCCAGCGCCAGCAAGCGTGGTGAGCAGCTCGCCCGCTCACCAACTCACCAACGTCGTTCACCACTCACCAACTCACCACTCACCCGCTCACCAACTCACTCACTC